CCAGGAGCAGAACTCAACACATTACAATAGTTTAAAACAATTAAAGAAATACCAAAATTACATATTATCACAATTAAGTATAAGTAGTCATATAAATAATTATAAAAGTATCAATAAATTGAATTAAAAATCATTTTTATATATTTTCCAATTCCATTGAAATTTGTCCCTAGTTTTTGTCAACACCGTCAGAAAAGAAAAGAATGTAAAAAAAATCAGGCATTATTGGGGGGCACCAGAACTTCTGAGGACCCCATGACCTCTTCCTTTCTCTTCCTTTGCTAAGAGGGCTAGTTAGCTCTGGTTAGCTTAAGTTATTCTTTAGTTTTTTTCTTCTGTTTTATTCCTAAGTTGCTTGTCACAACAATGATGTGTCAACTCCATAACTGACAATTTACAAAACTTTGATAAAATTTTGTGAAATAAAAGCTTAATTTTGGTAAACTGTAAAGATTTAATGGACCTGATGAGCTACAATATGGCCTCCTTCAGAATAACATCATATAAATTGAGGTAGTTTGGCTTTTTGTCAACTCCGTCAGATGTCAACTCCATCAGAGTTTTTCTGACTCTTTCAGTGAAATTGTTGTCAAATCTCACTTAAATGTGCAATTAATTCATTTTAATGTATTTTACATAAATTGCATTACTTCACATGTATCAAGTTTTTCATTTTACTCACTAGTTTGTCACCACCTTCAGTTCTGTGTCAACTCCGTCATGCACTGTCAACTCTGTCAGATGGACTTTTGTTGTTTTTTGTTTTAAATAGTATTTCTTTTGTTTCTTGAGAAGCATTTGTCTGGAAAATGAGTAAAATATCAGTAATGGGGTATTTTAAAAATCATTTTATATTTATTTTTATCAGATGTTGATGACAAAGTTCTGGGTCAGGTCGATTAAAAATGTAATTAAAAAAAGATGTTGCAACTGGGAGCCTGCACCTTAGCATTAAAACCCATTTTGTCCCTATTCTCAAGAATCACTGAGTCACTGTCTTGAAGAAATGTCTAGATGATTAGAAATTTGCTTTGTAAACAACTGAACTCTGAAAAGGGTAAGAATGCATAAAACTGAATTTGTGAATAAATAATCAGTACAGTCTAACAGGTTTTGACAGTTCATTGAATGGAGACTTGTCATTTTTCATTCTAGACTGTATGTAGCTTTTTATGTTTCCCTGCGTCAGTAAACTTAATTTCAACTGATGGTTTATTAACAGGCTTTTGTTGAACTGCTGAATCAGGCATCTTAAAGCAGTAAACATCTAAAACATGCAGGGCTTGAGGATCAGGGTTGAAGAACACTGATATAACTCTGGGTACATGCTATTTTCCAAACATTTTTTATTTCATTTTTTTTTTTTTAACCTTAGTTTGGTTCGACTTTAAATGTAGCTCATTTCTTTGCTTAGTACTGTCTGTTTCCGACCTTTAGCCTTTCATAGGAATCATCTGGACTTTTGATTGTGAAATTTGGGAACCCAGACTCTGAACATTTTGGCTAGCACTGTGTGCACAAAAATGAAAAGTTTCATTGTGTGTGGTCAACATTGCATTTTGTCTAACTTTTTTCCAGTGGTCAGACTATATATTCAAGTCGGTAATATTATTTTATGGTTGTGTTCAATATGTTGACCTCTTCTGACACATACATCACTAACTGGAGCTTAAACTCGCTGATTGAGAATTGTTTTTTTTTTTTTTTCACAATGCAACTGAGCTGTCATTCTTAGCTTAAAAAGAACTGGAATTACTTCACTGGCTGAAATACTTTCTTTTTGCTATAAATAACATTTTTTGATTTGTGTTGCTGTGTCCACTGCAGATATGGAGGAAGTATGACATCGACTGCAGCGGCTACATATCAGCTCAGGAGCTGAAGGTGAGACTCATCAAAGACTAGCATTTTTTTTTTTTTTTTTTTGTATCTTAGATATGATGCAGCTTATTTCAACATTTTCTTAAGAACATGAATAGTTAAAAATACAGTACTTACAGCATTTTTGGAAAGGATATTCCCACAATGGGTAAAGTTGCACAGTTAAAATTATTTCATGTGTGTATATGTGTTTTGTTGGCACATGCTTGAATAGGTCTTGGTCTAAAATAACTTCAAACTTCCTACTAGTAATGAATGCCAGGAAGCAATTAGCCGAGGCTAATCGTAGTAATGCTAAAATGTACATTAAATATTTAAGTTGTACACCTTTTTAATGTATTGATTATGGAAGGGAAAAAGTATGTTTGTTAATGTCGAATAGAAAAGACAGCAATGATCTGAGAGTAACTGTAACTGTTGCTTCTGCAGGGAATCGAGCTCAATGATTGAAAATGTTTTTTTTTTCTTTGTGGTTTTTCTTCTCCCAGGCCTTTTTGAAAGATTTATTTCAGCAGCACCACAAAGAAGTGTCCCCTGATAAACTGGAAGAATACACCGACGCAATGGTATAAAAACTATCTGCCTCAGTCTCAAGACTTAGTCACACTTTTTTAAAACTTGGCTGATTGTCCAAGTCAAAAAGCTATACAAAATTGTTTTATTCAAATGAATTATTAATTTTAACACTGTATGTCAGGCAGTATTTGTTTTATTTGTTTAGTTAGTGCAATTATTGTTCATCTTTTTGACTGAGCATATTTTCAGAGATGAGAACATCTCTCATTATGCAAAGATATTATTCTACAAACTCAAATGTACATCCTCCTGTTAGAGTTGAATCTTGCTGTTATGGATTATCTTGTATAAAAACCAAAAAGGGAATTAAAAACATCAAACTTTTTCTTTTTTTTTCACAATTACTGTTGGTATAATCAATTTTATTAATTTTGGGGGAGAGTCAACATTTGAAATTAGTTTTCTGATTTTATACATTTACATTTTGTAACAGTCTATAAAACTAAGCAGAGGTATAGCAGAGGTGAATTTCCTGTGCTTATGAAAATGAACAAATCCTTTCTTTTCAGATGAAAGTATTTGACAAAAACAAGGATGGCCGTTTGGATCTCAATGATTTAGCCAGGTACATTTCTGCAAAGATTTTGTGCTAGAAGCTGACAACAGAAAGCTTTCTAAAACATAACAGTGTTGGTTTAATTTCCTGTTATGATTAATTCAATTAATATTTGGGTTTATACTGAAGGATCTTGGCTTTGGAAGAGAACTTCCTGCTTCAGTTCCATATGGATGTAAGTATATTAGTCTTTTTAAAGGGGCATTATTATGTATTTTCGTTGCACATGCTGCCATTTTATAGCACAGTCAGTGCTATGAAATGGCATTGATTGTGCAATGCCATTGCTGAAAAAATGGCATTGCTGAAAACAAAAAGTATTTTTTCAGTTATTGTAAAAATGCTTTTTATATCAAACTTAAGTTAAAAGAAATTTGACTTCACATTTTAACGCCTTGGAATTGAGCCTCTGTTTCTTTAAGAAGCTCTTGCTCTTCCCCACACTGCCATACCACAATATTCCTCTATCAAGGGACACTATCAGGAATACCATCAAAACGTTTTTGACCAGCGTTTCAGTGAGAAGTAGCTTGTATGATGAACTCAGCAGATTCCACCAGATGTTTGCTAATTGCTGCTGGCTAGTCTGAAGGAGCAATGTGGAGTAATCGCAGGGGAGGTGTGCTCTGTGAGGCAGAAGCTCGGCTTGGAGACTCTGGGATCAGCACTCTGTGGTGTGACTGAATGTTGATTTTTCAAAGCAACGCTCGGTTTCACTACTTGTTTTCTGAACCCATAACTGTTTGGCCTGCTGCTCCTCTGGCTAACAGGGGAGATTAAAGGATTTCTCAAACATGCATGAGAGAATCAGAGCAACACTCCAGGTATGTTTTGATGAGGGAGTGACATTATAACATTATTCTACATCTCAAAAAAGTTGACTTTACTTAATACAGCCCCTTTTAAAAACCAATGAAGCCATAAAATAAACCCAATTATCTAGTTTTACTTTCATATTTGTTTGATTAAAGACGTGTTCTAATTTTCTTTAAGGCTTCCAGTAAAGAGGAGAGAAAGAGGGACTTTGAGAAGATCTTTGACCACTATGATGTTGTAAGTCCCTCTGTGGGAAATTATCTTCTGCAAAACCATCACTTTTATGTGTTTAGGTTATCCAACAAATAATGAAAGGAAAAAATGTAAATGTACATCTTACAGACGGATTTTTTTGTAACATTAAGTACAGGACGGAGGAAATGAATCTACTTTAATTTTGCGTGAGAAAATGAAATAAGATAAAACGGCTAAAATGTGATGAAGTCATGCTCTGGTTCATTATATCATGTAAAATCAGAACTCTTGAACAGGCTCACGTTTCGATTGTGAAACCAAATGCCTGAGAACCTTTTCTGCTCATCCATCATTTACTCTCTGAATGAAAATCTTCAAGGCCACCAGTTTTGTTACTGAACCTGCTGGCTTTGACAGAGACGATGTTCAGAATAGCAGGAACCAATGCAATTAATGTTAGCAGAATGCAGAATGTGTGAGAGACTTGCATCTTCGTTTTTATGCTTGTATGATCTGATTTATCAAACTCTAGGAAAAGTGTGAATGGACAAAAGTCTGATCTGAGTTTAGCTGGAGAACAAGTACTGCATACCTGAACCGTTGCCATAAAGAGACACAATTTTCTACAGGTTTGAGATGTTTCACACAGAAAAATTTGTTTAGACCGAGTCTTTGGGAAAAATTATTTTTAGTTTTTTAAGGTCTTTGAAAACCTGTTTCAATACAAGCATAATATTTTTATTACAATATGTTTTTTTGTTTTGCTTTGTTTGTTTTTACAATTCTGCATGGAAAAATGACACTAATGACACTGAAGTTCTCTGGGATTTTGGAAAAGCCTATAATTATATTTTTGATGCGATATTATTCTGCCACTGTGCCGTCTTTGGGTTTTCTTCTGTCTGCTCATGTTCCCTCCCTCTGGTTATCCATCTCCAGAGTAAGACCGGAGCCCTGGAAGGTCCTGAGGTGGATGGTTTCGTCAAAGACATGATGGAGCTTGTCAGGGTAGGAGTCCTAGTTATTCTTTTTCCTCTGTAAAATTTTGTAAAACCATTTTAAACTATTCTATTGGTATTTTCTAAGACATTTCCTGATGTGTATGCAAGTATATCACTTCATTTTTTCGATTCTGCGTCACTTCTCGACAACCTGGGGTCTGCTGTTGCATCTTAATTTCCTCTTAATTTTGAGGGTATAATGTGATTCACCTCCTGATGAAAAGCTAAAAACAGTAAAACATTTTTCCTCCATTATTAATCTCTCACTCACTCATCAGTGCTCTACTTCTTGCCTTCTGTCTACTGCAGCCCAACCTGACGGGTCCCGATCTTGACAAACTGCGAGCTGTTCTGTTGCGTCACTGCGACGTCAACAAGGATGGCAAGATTCAGAAAAATGAGCTGGCTTTATGTCTGGGAGTGAAACCAAAACCTTAGAAAAACCTCCGTAACAAATTCCTCTTATGAAACGCTGATTGTATGGTGTACTTCTGATAATAGTGGAATGTTATCCACATAATCTCGTTCCTTTTTCATGCATCAAGTTTAACCTAAACCTTAAATAACAGAATGAACTTTATGACAAATTAGACTCTCTGACTTGAAACTGGGTTTCTAAGGTAGTACTAGGCTTGTGTTCGCTGGTGTAAGATGTTTGCAATTAAGGGTAACTTGGTGTGCTGGTCAACAACGTGAAAGTGTCTCTTTTGAAGTGAAAACTTGCTGAATATAAAGTTCTCTGTAGAGCCTTTTGCATTTGCATGTTTCTATAAAAATGTAATGGTATGTTGTATGGTGCATAATATACAGTAATGGACTATAAAGAAAATAAACAATGACAAGTGATGGCATATTAATGTTTGTTTGTCTTCTTTCCCTTCAGCATCTCCACTGGATATTATAAAGAAATGTAGAATAAAAGTCTTTCAAATGCATTTGGAGCTGTAAAAGTCAAATCTGTTTCATTTGCCAGAAAGAAAACATGGTAATTTGCATTTAGATATAAATGTGGTAAATATTTGAAATGGATTTAATTGCAGGAGCAACAGAAAATACTACAAGCAATGAAACATTTTGTTTTGAACATTTTCTCAATAACCAAAAGTGGGGGGACCCAGCAGAAAAAGTCTGGGAATCACAAACTTAAAAGAAATCATTTATATTTTTTCAGGTTATCTTTGATAAATCTGAAGGTTTTTCTCCGCATTGTACAAATTTAAATATTTGGTGACTTTCAAGTGCAGATGAATGAGATGCCATGTTCTAAGTTTGAGAGACAATTTAAACCACGTAGCTGGAAGTCCTTTCAGTGACTAACAGGAACCTAATGGTGCAGACCCTAAAAGCTTTCTCCACCAGACCGAGATGCACTCAGAGTCAAAGCCAACATGGTGTGTGATTTTTTTTATATGGTCTCCAGTTATTCATATGTGTATTTCAATTATACAGAACACCACCAGCACTGCGAATAGTTTAAATGCATTTTTACTGTACAGGACATGGCTTTAGTGTCTTGTGTACCGTGTAGCGGTACAGTTATTGGATTACGATTGTGTTTGTGTGGGAGGAGGAGCTGAGACGCATGCAGCTGCTGCAAAGCAAACACTTTGAGATCAGTAGGTGTTAACAGTTGCAGCGAGGCTGGAGTAAAGACTTGAATGAAACAAATTGTCATCAAGGTTAAAGCACTGAATGGCTCAGAATCAGAGGAGCTATAGTGTACTTTCTTTTGTCACTTTCTTTTTCTTTTTATGCAAAAAATTAGAAATAAAATTGACTAAAGCTTCACTCTTAGATTTTATTATATGGGGAATTAGAGTTATGCTCTATTAGTTTGATTCTTGTATTTTCTGATTATTTGGCTCAACTTGTTATGAGCTGTGTTGCTAGTATGACTTCTGACATTTATTTTCAGTCCTTCTAATCTAAAAAGTTCACACTTTTTTTTTCTTTTTTCTTTTTTTTTTTTTGCAAGTAGGCTTGAGAAACAAATCTCAAAGTGAAACCGCTGTCAACCAATGTTATTCTCGGACAATAAGGAAACATTTCACTCTAATGTAATGATCTATTAAAACACATCTCATCTTCCTAAGAGCTTCACTTAAGGCCTGGCATATGAACTGAAGACCTGAACATCAGAAGCATTAACGCAAATGCTGTATCCTTCAGTAATGGAATAACTATATCATTAATCTCAGCCTGAAGATTTATAGCAATGCGCTGTCTCTCTAGCCACTATGAGTATATTTATTAGCAATATATTCAATGTTGATAATAAACTAATGCAAAGACATCTATATATTCTATATTTAGATTTGAGGAGGCGTTCTCAAAACTGAACATCTGTCAAGCTTATAATGTGTGTGGAAAAGAATACAAGAATGTTCTTAATGCTGTGCAATGCTGCCCTCTAGTGGCAAAACTACAGCCTTGTAAGCCTTTGAAGGGAACGTTCCATTCATCCCTCCATTATTTAAGGTGGAGGGGTGCTGGTGCTTATCTCCAGAGGTCAACAGGCGAGAGGCGAGGTACACCCTGGACAGGTCGCCAGTCCACCATAGGGGAATGTTTCAATCAAATTAGAATTAATATGATCATGTTCATATCATTGTTTTTATAATACCTGCACCTTTCTTACAGCAGGAACGTCATCATATTCGCACCAAGTAGATTTAGATCAGCTGTGAGCTTGCTACCACCAACTGTTGACTGCAAATAGTTTCAGCTTTAATCTGCCTGGAGCAAATGCTTGTCATCACATTATGTGTTCATCTTTTGCAGCTTGCAGAAAGATGAACAGCTTGCTTAGTGGCACCATATGCTTTTTGACTGAAAACATTGACTGGTATCAAGCTCTTCACTTTGACACAAGACTCTTTCTTGTCTGTCTTTGGGTCATTCTCTTTGAGTAAACAGCAAGCAAGAAAAAGTGCTGTAAGCTTAGAGAGAGAGCATAGATATTCAAAGACGGGGCCAATTGTATCATCCATGCAAAGTGAACATAAAGTTATTGGCACCAATAAGTCAGGCGATGGCCATGCACCTCCATGAAGGTTTCACAGGAAAAGATAAATTATTGCACTGTTGTAACTTCTGTGAAGTTATATCAGTCAGGTTCAGGTTTAGCAACAGGACTGAAATGTATATATGTTTTTAATAAGCAGTCATTTCAGTTACAGAGCTGTCTGCTGCAGTTTGCAGCAGAGGGTGTGCCACAGCTGCTCTTAGTTTACAATGTAACTGTTTTTTATTTCCTTTATCCATCCCAAAATCTTTGCGCTGCAGAACTTTTTGCTGCATATGCTCCATTCTCTGTCATATTTATTATGCTCAGCGAGCTTAGTGAAAACATCAGGATATTTAGTTTGCACCAACAGAGAATTTGGGATAAGAACCTGCCTTTGCTCAGCCTACATCAAGAGGCTGACAGAACATAAGACATTAATAAATAAAAATAATTGATATTATGATATCATATGTTGTCCTGACTCGAGCATTTTCTTAAAGGATTTCAAATGATGATTAGCTCTATATTTTCATTTTCAACCCTGCAAAAGAAACTTCAAAATAAAAGAAATGTCAGAGATCTAAGGTTTCCAAGAACCCCCTCTTCCAGGAAAGAAGCTGCCAGTTCTCATTTTGAGAAAGCACGCTACGATTTTCCCCATCCCATAAAACGCATCTTGAGGTTTTTCCATGCAATACGTTTTAGTAGTGGAAAGCCACCCACCATAGAAGACAGTTGCCTGACTTTCTGTGATGCAGTTCATGTACAGTGGCATGGAGCAAATAAACTCTGGGTGAGAGATTTGTGGGGGCCCCCCAAGCTGTTATTTCCACTGACTGGCCACCGCTTGTAAAGAACAGCCAAATGACCACTGAAGACCTGACACATGAATGACTGGCAATTTATTGCAAACACGTCTTTGGACATGGAAGACATAAGAGACGGGTTAAAGCAAAAAAATAAATAAAAAATCTGTTTGAAAGTAGGCTGTAAAGTAAAAATTTTAAAAGGCATGCCTCTCCCACACACATAAAACTCTCTAAAACTCCAGGAAAGGAAGGGAATAACTCAACTCCAAACCTACAACGACATGGATGCCCACCTAAGCTGATGATGGATGATCCAAATGGAAGACACAGTGCACAGTTATTTGGTCTCTGATTAGATGAGAACAAAATTAAACTTCTTGGCTTTAAAAATGAAATGTTTTAATGTAACACTGCCCCCTAAGCGCACTGTCTCCACTGTTAAAGTCTGGTCAGGATCAATAGGAGGATGAACAGAGCTGCATGCATGGTCACACGGGGACAAAACATAAGGAAGGTAACAAAAGACGTGAGATCACAGCGGTATTTCACCTTCCAGCATGATAATGAGCCTAAACACACGTCCATTTACTTTTGAGTCTGTGGAGTAGTTGTACAAAACACTGAACCGAGAAGGCCTGAATAAATGTATGCCACACATTTCAGATTTTAATTTGAAGGGGGAAAAAACCATTAACTTTACATTTCCTTCCTGCTTATGGCCCTAGTGTGACAAAAATTTGTATAATTGATTGTGATAACAATACTTTTGTAAAACACAGAAAAACTTGAAAAGAAAAACATTTTCCCATGTTGTGACTCTAAAGCGTCCAGCTTTGTAACAACATCATGTGACCATAATTACATCATTCTGGGATGTAGAGTGCAAACTTTGCATCCTTCTTCAGGTCTCCTTCCAGTGTTTGGATCCATATGACTTGTCGCATATGGCTTACAGCTGGTGAGGTGACAGACTCCAGTTCAAAATGCAATGATATCCCGATGGAGCTCTTCTCAAGTGTTTGCCAAGCTAGCAAGTTAAGTCAAAACATGCTTTTTATAGGATGAACTAATTTAAGCTGCAGGATGTAACTCGTAATAATAGCATATAAAAAACATGAAAAAAAAAATCATAAAACTACAGTGTAAAATATACATTCAAATGAACAAGGAAAGGGGTGAATCTTCACAACACTGTGCCACACACACTGCTGACCACAAACATTAGTTTGTGCGCACCATGTTGCCTGAGTATCCATGTAAACAGAGGCATCCTCTGTGTGGCCTGACCACACGCTGACGGCTCGAAGCTCCAAAGTAGAGTTCAGCTCCAACAGCTTGCAGGCCTCTGATAGTAAATATTTGAAATCACGTGACCTGTTGTTGTCTGAAGCTAAACTGTCTAAATTGGAGGATGACTCAAATCTTTCCAACATCTTCTGTTGCTGCCACATCCTTTTCGAATGTGATGCATATACCCCCATCCCCACTATACGCTGCTCACAGACAACTTCTCTGAGTCGTCTGTTTTTGTTGGCTTAACCCTTTCATGCATAAATTATGATCCTTTGTGTCAAGATTTTTTTCCTTTTTTATTAAGGCATTAAAAAAGGTGTTTTCATTAAATTTTTTTAGGTAATCAATTGTAATTTCCTCCAAATAAGAAGTTGCTATTTGAAAAATACATCAGTAGTATTGTTCTTTAGGGGTTATCTGATGTCACAATATGTTTATACCTGCAAGAGTCATCTTCAATAGAAGGAGGGATCGGGTCGGTTGGCATGCTTTTTTGTCTGTCGGCCATATTGAATTTAACAAAAATAATTTCTTGCATTTGCAGCTGATGGTCAGTAGTTGATAGAGTATTTTATGATGCATTAGGGTCTACTTCAGTGGTCTGTGTGCATTTACAACATAAAAATCAACAAGAAGCACAAGAAAATGGCTTTTAGACAGCTGTCCACTGTGGTGACCACTATGCATGAAAGGGTTAAGAAAAACGCTTGTCTGTAGCCAACAATTGCCTTGTTTAAAGAAACATAGTTGCCCACAGATAAATGTAACAAAGAAGTAGAAGATCAAGTGAAATTGTAACTTCACTCTGCCATTAACATAAGCTGTCAGGAAAACGAGACGACATAGAGAGGAATGCTGGATTCTCCAACTACATAGTTTCAGTGGTTTTAATGTATGTGATACATAACTCCCATTTACATGTGACCCTCTCTTGATATGTGATCTCCTATTTGGTACAAATGGTCACTTGTTCCTCTCTTCTGCTGCTGGATTTCATAGAGAACACCGACTTAGGTGGGTTACAGAAGCTGAAATCTCAACAGACTAGACAAACAAAGCCATCTTGTGAAGTTTGACATTCTTCAGCTTCCACCGTCAAAACTGTTGAAGGAGCACTGAATCAAGATTTTTGGCAAAGCTAGCAAGCATTCAGTCAGAACTGTGCAAAGAAAGCTTACCACTTTTTGCCTTAACTCAGAGAGAAAGCCTACTGTGAATGACCAGCAAGTCTATGCCAAATTTTTTTTATGCATATGGAGGTAAAACATTTTCCAGAAGTCCTATGCAGATGTTATATAGAGCGCCAAGAGTGATGTAGTACATAGATGTTTGACTATGCCAAACTAAAGTCAAGTAAATGTCTTCAGTCTGGCACGAAAAGACAAGAAACTTAATCCAGTAAAAACAGAAATATAAAAACGCTGACCTCCTGCATTTGCCTTTGGAAACACATTCAGGGTACAAAGAGTTTATAGCTTTTCACATTTTGCAACAGCCTAAAATCTAAATGTATTTTATTTTCACCATATCTAATTTCTGAACTGGAGCTAGAACTATTCCACAAATCACGTCTCAGCTTTTTTTACATGTTCAAACGTCCTGTATCGATGTGCGGGCCTGGTCGACGTGCGTCAAGTTCAATATTGCGTAAGAAGTATTTATTAATGTCTGGGAAATAAATACAGATTGTGAAAGCTGCTGCTGTACCTAAACTGAAAAAAAATAGGTGCTGAAAAAGAACCTTGAAACTCCTTAAACCAGATGTGCCGACAGTGATGTTATATTCCCAGCCTCATAGTCATCCTTGACATACGTTTCCACTGTGAAGCTATTTAAAGAAACAGAAGCAATTCTGCAGGGAAAAAGAGGTTTTCCTTTGTGACCTACCAAGTGGGGGAGGTCAAAGGTTTGAAAATAAGGAAACCAGCAGGATGCATGTAAAGCGCAGTAATTCAATCTTCAGCGAAGAACAAACCCACATTGCTGTTACGTTATAGATTTATTCTGTTTTGCTTTTTCTCACATGTAAATTTCAGATTTAAAAAAATCACACAAAGATGAAGTGAGCAAAAGCAAAAATAAAGTATGATGATTTGTGTAGAAAACTAGACAAATGTAAATGTGACGTAAAGCGTTTGACCAAACCATCAACCCCCAAAATTAAGGGCAAATACTTTTTTCATCACACTCTAGGGAAGCACTAAGGTAAAGTTGTATTAATTACTGAATAATCCAGTGCAGCACCAACCAGACATGACTAATTGACAACGACCATGTCATGTGTTAACTAAAACAGCTGGATGTTAGAAACATTTTGTGTTGATCGTCACGTCTTTGAAGGAATTTTACAACAAAATGTGACTTTCGACCTCACCCAAATCTGTGCAACCCCTTCACCACTCCTTCCTTTCTGTCGTCATGGCAGCAGCGGGACCTCTCTGGTATATAAGGTCCTCCTCTCCTGAGTCGTGAGCCACAGCGACAGAGTTCAGCCTTCTGCATCGCTACAAAGTGCTGGGGAGATTAAACCCCCAAACAAAGGGATTTAATGGACTTTTTCTTCACTAATATTTTTAACTTTGTACTGCATGACAAGAAGATGACAAATCTTTCAGCTGTTTTAGTTTTTTTCATGACTGCACAGGTAAGAGATAAATTCACTTCTGCTGTTAACACTGTAAGTCTGACTAAAGTTTAAGTTTGGTCAACATCTTGTTTTTTGGTTGTACGTTATTTACAAGAGAAAAAGATATGAAATATGGGAAATGCTCAGTCACCTCTTGGTTGTCTGGAATGACTCTGGGACCTTAAAACAAATCCATTCTGTCCTCCGCTCAGACATTCACAGTGATCGGGGCTCAGACGTGTCCTCGGCGATGCCTGTGTCCTGCGGAGCTTCCCGTGTGTCTCCCCGGGGTGCCCCTTGTCCTGGACGACTGTGCCTGCTGTCTGGTTTGTGCAGGTCAGAAAGGCCAAGCATGCTCAGAGATGAAACCCTGTGACACAATTAAAGGGCTGCAGTGTGATTACTCAGTGGATGTTCACAAGAGAACTGGCATCTGTGCGGGTGAGTCAGCTGCACATAATCGTCAATAGCCATGACGATTATGGTGATTTTAAAAAATTATCTCGCTGTTTTGTCTCTTTCCTCCAGTCAGTGTGGGTAACGTGTGCGTTTTGGAGGGTTTAGTCTATCAGCATGGCCAGATCTTCTTCCCGAGCTGTAAATACCAGTGTGTGTGCCAGAATGGCCAGATAGCCTGCATTCCTCGCTGCAACCTGGATGTTATGCTTCCTGGGCCCGACTGTCCAGTCCCACGCAAGGTCCAGGTTCCTGGAGAATGCTGTGAGAAGTGGGTGTGTGAGCCCCAGACAGAAGCAAGCGCACTGGGCGGCTTTGCCATGGCCGGTGAGTGAGTGGACAACGTTCATGTTTCTAGTGTTCTTAGACTAATGTAGAAGCAAAAAGATAAGTGGAAAAAAATAGGAAACCATGGAGAGTGAGAAATAAGAAGAATAAACTAATCATGTTTCAACTAGTTTGGTAGAAGAGTTGAGCAAGTACTTGAGAAAATCAAGTCTGTTTTCTCCCAGGATATCTTTTCCTCGACAGCAGGACGTTTTAACACAATTCAACCTTTTGTTGTCGTTTTTTTTTTTGTGCTCATTCAGCCTTTCGTCAAGAAGAAACTGTAGGTTTTGGAAGCTGGGACCCCAGGCTAACCTGCATTGAGCAGGCCACAGAGTGGGGGGCCTGCTCTGAAACATGTGGCATGGGGGTCTCCACCAGGGTCACAAACAAGAACAATCACTGTGAGATGGTGAAGCAGAGTCGGCTGTGTATGATTAGACCCTGTGAAGACCTGCAGGGACAATTGACTCAGGTTGCACTAATGGTAAGATTCATTCAATAATTAATTAAGTTAGCAGATAATCCCTTAAGCTCCAGAGAAATATATATTAGACAGTAGAAAAACAGAAGGTCCCTGAAGGAGCCTTCTGATTAACCACACCCTCCAATACCCAATACTTATACATTCTAGCTAAATCGAGCACTATAACTCACGTTAGCATAATAAATAACATTTTCTATTAATAGCAAAAAAGTAGCTTTTCTGTAGTTAGAATATAACATTAATATTTCTTCATCCCCAAGCAGAGAGACAGGAGATGCCAGAGGGTGGTGAGGAGCAACAAACCTGTTCACCTTGAGCATGAGAACTGCACCAGTATCCTGGCCTACAAGCCTCGCTACTGCGGCACCTGCACAGATGGGCGCTGCTGCACCCCCCACAAAACCAAGACCACTCTGGTGAAGTTCCAGTGTCCCGACAACAGAATCAGACGCAGGCCAGTCATGGCAATCCTAACCTGTGTCTGCCACACCCATTGCCCTCAAGACAACGTTGCATGGGAGCCATCGCTGCTCCTGTACGGTGGCATGACAGGAAGATGAGTCCAGGTTGCAGCTAACGACAAAATATGGGCTGTGTTGAGTCCTGAGTATTAAGAGCCAGCACAATATTTGATGCTGCCGATTATATATATATAAAAAAGAAAAGAAATGAGGAAAAAAAGACAGACCGGAACTAAGGCAAAAGCAAACTTTTAAAATACATATTACTAATGTTGTGGCAACTGATGAGTCAGACTTAACTGGGCACCACAAATCAATTAACACTGTTTTGGTCTGTGGAAACAGTGTTAAAAAAGGGCATCTCATGTCATTTTGAAGGAATATTTTGACCTGAAACACAAAGCGAATCACCATGTCTGTATCTCTGCACGAGAGAGATTTCATTTTAAATGAGTTATATCCTGTGGACAAAAATAATCAGTATGTATTATTACTGAGTTCTGTAGAAGCACTTAAGCAATGATCTCAAAAGTGCTGCATTGATTTCCTAACAGATTGTGCTTGCTAGCTGTCTTTTTAAGTTGTATGTTTATTTTTAAAATATCACTTAAAACGGTAAAGTGTAAAAAAAAAAAAAAAAAACTTCCTATTTCTAAAATAAAAAAATAGTTTATCCTGAAGGAAGAAACTACAGATTTAATGCACTGTAAAATAAGCAGCAAAATCTTGAATCTTTATTGAATCTTTATTTATATACTGTTATTCACTCTGATAAACTAGAAAGACCTTCAGATGCAAGATTTGTGAAAGAGGTACAATTATTTTCACCAAAAACTCTTTATCTCCAGGTCGCATAATTGGAATAACTGAGATGTGCACCTTGATATGAATCCCACTAGGGGCTCACCACATGAATGAGAGGTCACTGTTGTGTCCGACTGTCATTTTTGACGTCTCTCTGAAATACTACCCTTGTTGTAAAATAAATGTTTTTAATAAATGTTCACTTCTTAGAAGCAAAGAAGGAACAGTTTTTTTATCAATGTTATTTTTTTTGTTTTTCATTTGATCTAGTTTATTTTTCTTCTAATAATAATGTACTAATGTATTACAAATACTAATGTATTTGTGATACATTAGTACATAGCTTGTTTGTGATAACTTGTTTGACTGAGTGTATCAAATGCACAATGTTAATAATATATGTTCAATGTGGTGCTTGGTTTTATCTTTGACTACTGTTGCTTGCTTACTCTTGTTTTTCCTAACGTTTCAAAAATTAAAATAAACATCCTAGTTTAAAGATATATCTAATTTTAAGTAAATTGATTATATTTAGTGTCAAAGTTTAACTACACTCACTGGCAAAAAAAAAAAAGATTTGAGGGTAAATGAGAAGAAACCCAACCATGCACTCACATACGCATATTAAAATATACATTTGAATACATATACATACATATATACATTTGCACAAAAACAAAAGGAAAACTTACTAAGTAGCAATCTATTTAATGTCAGTCTTTTTTTTTCATTAACTTTCTGGAAATTAGTTTCCATCAGCCTGAAAAATCAAACTTAGTTTCGACATAAATCCTATTGCAAACCTGTGAATAAATCTATTTTTTTAAAGTTTTAATCCCAGTTTGTCCAGAAGATTAAAAATTACAATGTTATATCTGCCTGTTGATCATTGATAAGAATGAATGTATAAATCCCACCCAGGCCCACCTTGATTTTTTCAGGACCTGCGTAAGGAGGCTATCCGGCCCCTTAGAGGTGGGGAATCACAAATTTAAAGAACCTTAATGTGTGACAGTTTTAAATGCAAAATATTTTCACTTATAAATGAAATCCAATGAAATATTTCCCAAAGGCTTTGAAGATGGATCTCTTCCTGTAAAGGCTTTACCGTGATTTCCATGTCATAGGAAACTCTGAGTCCCTCCAAACTCTGAGGTTGTTACCCTCTGACATCTTTCCTTGACCCCAAACGGTAAGGTCACAATGTAAGAAAACTGAAACTTCCCTTTAAGACAGCTAGTTTTCTTTAGTGGGAAGTCAAACGTTAGTCTGAATCTGAATCTAGCACTGTGGTGAATATATCAACAAACAGCTCAGTCTCTGCAAGGAAGATCTCTGTGATATGTTTTGTTTTCACTATTTACATACTTCTGAAGCACTTAAGAAAAATCAAGGCTGACCAAAACGTTGTAAAACATTTTAATTACAATAAAAATGTATTTAAAAGAAAACTGTAGGTCCAAAAAGAAATTAAGATACATAAAATCACATTCGCGCCCTAACCCTAGCCCATTGCAAATAAAGCCCCAGCAACATCTTATAATGCATGTAAAAATTATTAATGGTTTAATAACCTTTTTGATCTTGTTAAACAATGCACAAACTGTAAAGACAGATTTTTTTAAACCAACCATGTGTATACAGTGCTTAGTCCATACCACTTTCATAAAACCCCATAAAACACTATTTTACTTTAACTATGTGTATAGATTACATCTTCAATCTACACAGAAATCCAAAGATAAACAGAAATACAATAAATGGAAAAAAATTGAATGCAAACCTTAAATATGTATATTGTATTTCTGATTTATGAATCAGTTTACTGATTTTATGACAAACTGCACCATCAGGTCTCCATAAATCCCTGTCTGAATTTGGTTTATCTTCACATACTGATGTATAACATTAGACAAAAGATCACAAACACACCAAGCCCCAAGAAGAAATTTTCTGAATCTCTCTGCACAAAGTTAAAAGGCTCACATTGCCTGGGAACAAAGCACAGTAAGATCTGCTCATTGAATTGACTGCCTGTAAGTTTGTGCATCAGGATGTCATTATCTGGATCAAGGAAAAGTACAAGCCCATAGTCATAATCTATAAGCACCAATATTCTCTTAGTGTTCCTCCTAACTCTAAACCTTGCAAAGCAGCATCCATCCCAGCTTGGTGGGAATGTCATTGTCTTTAAAACTGACTCTCTAACTGCTGCTAAATCACATTCATCTAGCCTATTGACTTGAATGTCATAAAAAGCTTTTCCTCTCATGATACCTTGGTTATGAAACATGCAGTTACATCCAGTAAAATGATGTGGCGCTGTTGTTTGAGCCTTCACATTATCTCGTTGTACCCCTTTGCCCCTCTTTTTACCATGTACACTTTTATTCTTTTGCTGTTCAGTTTTCTGTACACTCTCTTTCCTCCTCCAGATGTGAGATCTTTGGTCTAAATATGCCTCATTCAAGCTGACTGTGCCATGATCGCTATGCTCTGTGCACAAGGCGCAGAGGCGCATCTGATCATTCAAGCAGAAGAACTCCAAAATCCGGTTGTGTTCCCTGCATATTTTCTCCTCCAGGTCGGGAACAGGATTTGAGAGTTTGTGTCTTCGTAGGGCAGCCACTCTCAAGTGAGGCTCTAAATGTGTTTCACAAAAAGAGGCTAAGCACACCAAGCAGGTTTTTGAGGCTCTGATCTTGTTTGCCGGGCAAACGTCACATGACACCTCCCAGGGTTTTAACAAGGAAGTAGCGTCGGATGTTGGATGGTGTTTCTTGAAGTTGTCCACAACCTCCTTGAATGTGGTGTTGACAGACAGTTTGAGGTCTTTGTCGAACTTGTTGTTGCACAGTGGACACTGGCATTCCTGCTTGCCTGCCCAGTGCCTGGTCAGACAGGCCTTGCAGAAGGTGTGTCCACACGGCATAGATACAGGATCAGTGAAAATGTCCAGACAGATGGAGCACTGGAACTGGTCCTCAGACAGGAAATCACTGGATGTGGCCATATCTAAAGGACAGATTTTTGCAGCTCAGACCACTGAGCAAACATAGAGAACATTCAAAATCTCTCTACATAAAGAATTTCACAAAAATGTAATGTTACAACTCCAACTTCCAAGTATTTTATTTATGTTTTATGTGTGACATGCACTTTCAGCACCCTTTGATATTCTGAGATAAATTTCAGAGCATAGCCTAATTTCATAAAAAAAATGCTGCCATTTTGTGAAGACAGATACTAATAGGCTTTTCTATCAATTAAAACAAATTTAAAAGGTGCATTGACCTTGCAGTCTGCACTTCTAATAAAGTAGGTTTCTTTTAGGGTTCACATTGGGTTACCTAATTTAAGACTAATATGTCCTACCACAGTACTCAGATAGAGATAGATCTATTAAATTAAGGCGTTAACAAATATAGTGTTATAACAGGACTTTGTGGAGTGACAAGTATTTAAATGAATCACAAATAAATTAAACTGAGTAAAAGAAAAGTTATACTCAACCTTCTCGTGGTGTAAAGTGGCGATGTTCTGTAGCTGCGTCCAATCTGACCGCGGTTTATAAATGGTAAGAATGTCAACCATGTTAAGTTTCATTTCTCTGTAAATAATGTATAGTTGCTCCTCCCATGCTGCCATGTTTTACTCGTGTTATGTAAGAATAAATCAGTAAGAGCTGTGAAACACACATATAAAATATATAGTAAGATGAAACTGGATTTAGGACGAATTCAAAGCTAAACTATTGATTGTTAGAAATGTTTTGTTATTGATATTTTGTCTATTTATATTTAATTATTTGGGATACCGGTACTGTAGGCTGTTGTTTCATCAATAAAACAAACTTTACTGCTAAAACCAGTTATTTCACCAATCCATTTCACCAATACTGATATTACTTTGATCTAACTTTATAATTGCAAGTAGTTTCATTCAACACAAGACAAAGCTGGGAAAGAGAAACTTAGTCTATTATCACACAATCAAACATCCCAAACCTGCTTTGACGTCCAAAAATAACATAAGCAGCAATCTTAACATGCCTACGTTATTTGTCATTGTGACTATAGTTTCTTTACCTTTAGACGTAATGAGTGAAATGATTAGATTTAATGCAAACAAAATCTAACATGTTTACATCGATTCTTGAAGCAGAACCCTGGAACTTTGAGCCTTTGTGGTGTTGTGCTCCCTTTGCTGACCAGGCTTATTTCTGTTATTATTATTATTGTACATTTTGGGGTTCAGCTTCTATGAACCCCCAATCTGGAACAAATTTCCAGAAAACTGCAAAACAGCTGAAACACTGAGTTCCTATAAATAACTGCTTAAAACACCTGTTTACAGTTTGCCTTTAATTAGTAGTAAAAGGAACATTGCCCAGTGCCTGGTCAGACAGGCCCTGCAGAAGGTGTCTCCTCATTTGCTTGATGATTTTGATGATAACATTAGACAAAATGTAATGTTTAATGCTCATTTCAAAATTGATGACTATACGATGTTTTCATGTTATGACAACTGCATTGTTGCTGAAATGTGCAACACAAATAAACTTGACTTGGCTTGAAAACACTTTGAATGTCCACAGCAGCCAGTGTTTTCACATTTGTGAGATTCTTTGGAGTCACGGAGGAACGAACTCCCTTCAGCTCATTGGCTGGATAACATGACACACCTCCGGCGCTGTCCAATAATATTGTCTTTACTTCGTGTTTCTCCACTAGGATTCAATTTCTTTAGAAAGGAAAATTATAAAGTTTGGTTTTGCAGAATTATGTAAAACAGAAAGCTGACGAAGTTCTGTTTATCTATTTATTTATTTACTTAATCATGTTAAATAAATCAACAAATATAAACCAAAATAAAACAAAACAATGAAAATTATAAAATACATCATGTAATATTACCAGAAAAAAGTAACTGTAAGTTATAAAATGATTGGTGGATGGTTTCATATGTGGAGAAATTTAATTTTTCCTGTCCTAGATTCTCCTCTGTTTTTTTTTTTCTAAAAAAAAGAAAAATACTGTTAGGTATGGAAGCCCATTTCCGCCAAGAAAGAAAAAATAAAAGACCCATAGGAGGGGATAATTATGAATAAAAGAATAAAAGACCTCATAATTATGAGATTCAAAATCATAATTATGACTTTGAAAGTCATAATTTCGACTTTCAAAGTCATAATTATGAGATTCGAAAAATTATTATCCTGTTGGTGTTTTATTTTTTCTTTCATGGCGGAAATGGGCTTCCATAGGGTTAAGTCATAAAAAGTCAGGCAAAATTTTGATCCTTTGCAGGGTTTTCATTTTTAGAAAGCTATTGGATATGTTTGTTCACCATGATTCTTGAGTATTCAGTAGAAATGCTATAAATCATGATAATCATGTAACTGCTGTTGTGAAACCAAATCTATGAGAGAATAGATAGAAAATCCCAGCTGAACTCATACAACCTCGGTTATATTTTGATCAAGCCTTAAATCTGCAGTATGTAGCTTCTATAAAAAATGAATTTTATACATATTTGTTGAAACTGTCACTATGTCGTCACAGTATGGTATGAGACAGATAATCTGAAAAAATCGAGCTCCTCTGCCTTTTCCCAGCGCTTCCAGTTCTATGTAGAAACAATCAATCAGAGTAAGAAGAAAGGTCTTATCTCTGTCAGTCGGCTCTCTCAGCTTATCCCTCTGATCTTTCCCCCTTTGCTTTCTGCTACGCTGCAGCTAGAAAAGCCTGTCATGAACGCAGGCAAATAAATGGTTTTCCTGTGACGTAAGTTGCTTCTCCACCATTAGCGCATTTGGCAGTGAGTACATGAGGTTGACTGACAATGTTAAGACTCTCCTCCTGGCTCTGATTGACCGTTTTGGTCGAGAGCTGTGGATTTCTTCAGATTACAATAGAAGGTAGGAGAGGAGGTGGAGGAGATTTATTTTTTTCACAGATTATCTGTCTCATAACATACTGGTCATCATGGTAACAGTTTCAACAAATATGGAAGAAACATATATTTTTTATGAACTTACATACTGCACCTTTGACCAGGATGGTCAGTATTCCCTCTTTGTTTTTTTATACTGCAGTAGTTTTGGTTGTTTCATACTGGACTTCTTCAACACAAAGTCATTACTCCAGTCATTAATTTGTTGATTAATTCTTCACAGCAGTGATTCAATAAGATGTTGGAAATAGTCCTTGGTCCATGTTATGACAGTAAATTTGTCAGATGCAGGTCCATGATGCAAATCTTCCTTTCCATCCCAAAGCTTCTCTGCTGGACTGAGAGCTGGTGACTGGCTACTGGAGCACAGTGAACTCACTGCCATCTTAAATAACTTGATTTATGAGATGATGAGCTTTGGGATCATCTTCCATCTATCAGAAGATGGGTACACTGTGGCCATAAAGGCATCAGCAAAAACATCTGGATCATGTTGTGTCACATTTTGACCCCATTATCTGAATGTTTTCTCCTGCAGTTAATGACAACACAATGTTGAAGATCAGAATATGACATCAGACCCGGTAAAAACATGTCTAATGCGCCAATGTGGGCTTATAAGAAAAAGGTTGTCGTTCTCCAAAATGTAATCTGACAAAACAAGTCCAAAAGGAAGACACATTCGAATTTATTGACTGCATTTGTGTATGTTGGAAAGTTGGATAATTATCACTTTCCATTGATTTTACAATCAATATCAAACATCAGCTCTCAAAAGTACAAAAAATCGGAAATTTAAAAGCGTTCAAAAATTCAACCAAAACAAAAGATATTAAAAAAGTAACCAAGTTAACAATGTAAATCTAACATATGGTTTGTTTCTTATTGGTGGCTTAAGTAAATAACCTGATGACAGAGAACATCCGTTTCAATCTGGCCCTATCAGAAGGGAATGTAAAATCCAAATAGATACCAGTGTTATAATAAAAAATCGAAGACACCAGTCTGAAATCTCTAAATGACCTGAAATGCTCTCAACTCTTCTTCTTAAACTTTGCAATGCTGTTACAAAGTCAGGCTGGGTGCGGATAAAGAACGGGAAGACCTTTTCATGGATTCCACAGCCGGTAAATTGATGAAGCAAGATTTTATTGTCTGGATCAAATAAGAGCACCAGTCCATTGCTGTAATCTATCAACATCATCAGTCTTTGAGTGTTCCTCTGAATTTTAAATCTCAATATGCAATGACGATCCCAGTTTGGTAAAAACTGCATCCTTACAAAATCTGACTCTCTAATTGCTACTAGATCCCACCCAGCCATCCCACCGACTTCAAACCCATGCATCTCTTTTACCATGGAGAAATCTTTATTTTGAGAGTTAAATGGGTTAAAGTGGCTTGGGATATTTCTGCGGCTAGCCTTCACGATCTCTGCTTGCCCACTTTTGCCTTTCTTTTTACTTTGTGCCTTTCCATTCCTTTTGTTTTTCGTTTGTCTAATATTCTCTTTCCTCCTCCAGATGTGAGATCTTTGGTCTAAATATGCCTCATTCAAGCTGATTGTGTCATGATCGCTATGCTCTGTGCACAAGGCGCAGAGGCGCATCTGATCATTCAAGCAGAAGAACTCCAAAATCCGGTTGTGTTCCCTGCATATTTTCTCCTCCAGGTCGGGAACAGGATTTGAGAGTTTGTGTCTTCGTAGGGCAGCCACTCTCAGGTGAGGCTCTAAATGTGTTTCACAAAAAGAGGCTAAGCACACCAAGCAGGTTCTTGAGGCTCTGAGCTTGTTCGCCGGGCAAACGTCACATGACACCTCCCAGGGTTTTAACAAGGAAGTAGCGTCAGATGTTGGATGGTGTTTCTTGAAGTTGTCCACAACTTCCCTGAATGTGGTGTTGACAGACAGTTTGAGGTCTTTGTCGAACTTGTTGTTGCACAGTGGACACTGGCATTCCTGCTTGCCTGCCCAGTGCCTGGTCAGACAGGCCTTACAGAAGGTGTGTCCACACGGCGTAGATACAGGATCAGTGAAAATGTCCAGACAGATGGAGCACTGGAACTGGTCCTCAGACAGGAAATCACTGGATGTGGCCATATCTAAAGGACAGATTTTTCACAGTTTAGACCACCGAGGCAACATTGATGATCACATAAACTACAACTTGTCATAAAAAATATTAATACCTTCGACCTTTTCAAATTGTGTTATGTTATGGCCACAAACAATAATGCATTTTTTCTGGGATTTTAGTACTATTATTATGTTATTGTGATATTATTTTGTAGTAGATCAACACAATGTAGCAGATGTTTTAGAAGTGAGAGGAAAATGGTACATGGTTTTGAATTGCTTTACTGATAAAAATCAGAAAAGTTCAGCCAGCTCTACCTTGATACCCCTAATTAAAAACATCTGTGTATAAAAGTCCCTTTTTTGTGTAATATATATCCAACTGGTTTTTCTTATTTTATCATCGCATAGTTACATTTGTTCTGTGGTTTCAAAGGTCTGTTAGAAACACTACTGAAAAAAATCCTTTTGAAGACTTTTAAAACAGGTTTTAGGCTGATGGAGCTGCACAGTTCCTCAACTTAAGCGAAAAAATCTCTTAGTTCAGGCCAACATCTTTTTGTTGGTCATTCGTGTAATTTCAAAATAAAGTGCATTGAAGTTTCTGACTGCATGAAAAATGTGATAAAGCTCATGTGGTATGAATATTTTTGCATAATAGCATCTGTTTTATTGAGGTCCATTTTACA